ACCAGGGCAAGCTTAAGGAGGCCGAGGCGATGTACATGCGGGCGTTACAAGGCTACGAGGAGCTACTTGGTGCACCAGCCGTCAACTCGTACGTGCCAGCGTTGAACACCATGTGGGGTTTTGGCGACCTTTACGCTGAGCTGGATAATAATAAATGTGCTCAGGCAATGTACGAAAGGGCGATAGCTGGCTTCACTGTAGTTCGCGGGTCGCTCTCCGATACGTGTAGCTCCATTCAAGAACGTCTCGACGCGCTAGATCTCTTTTCTGATAATCAGAAGCCCGCACAGAGGTTACACTTGAAGCGATTAAGAGAAGAGCGCGATGGGCACAGTGTCTCAAGCGGTAACAAACATAGTCGATTAGGCTCAGCTCACTAATAAAGTAAATAAGTATATAGAATTGCTCTCATAACGATTTACTTAAAATTGTCTATATTCTGCAGATATTGGTCAAACTATTGTGGAGCAAAGCGCAAGGCATAAGGCACGTGATAACAGGCCACGGCATTTATTGTCTAAGTTCACTTGTTATTCATAAACAACCAGCGCTAAGTGTGGTAGTTGTACGAGATATTGTATCTGAACGTAGTTGACTGCAGGATGATAAATACGTGCTGTTCTATCTCAGGCTTAGCGCACTAGCACCCCTGTAGCTGGACTGCATGTTGAAACGATGTGCGCGCGTCAAGATCCGGAAGGCGTTTCTGCACGCGACTGTAGTGCAGTTATGCCGGCCCAAAGCCATACGCGAGTGATTTGAGAAATAAATTACTTAGACAGCATACGCTAGGCCTTGAAGGTAAGGTGTTGAGTTGTATGCCAAGAGCTGTTCAAGGTCCTTCCTACCGGATAAATCCGGACTATTAACATTGCGTACAAAGCATCTCTGAATTGTGCAGTAGACTTTTGCAAATAGATAGAGTACATAGTAGCTCCACCGACAAAGATCAACGCTAAACATATCAAGTATTGTATGGCCGCGAAACAGGCGAAGGTGTGCAGGTAGACAACAAAAGGATCGACAACATGGTGATAAATGATGTATTTTTCTATCTTCCCACTAGCCATAGAAGCAGACGTATTCGATAAGCAGCTTAAAACAAAATCTGCCCTAATTCTGCCAGATTTGCGGTTCCAGTCTGATTATTTGTCTAATCCTTTTCGGCATGGCGGGTTTTTCGTTACGCAGGGACAGACGTTACTGTATAATTTAGAGATGCTTTGTACGCAATGTATCTAGTCCGGATTTGTCCGGTAGGAAGGACCTCGAACAGCTCTTGGCATACGACTCGACACACCTTACTTACAAGGCCTAGCGTATGCTGCCTAAGTAATGTAAATTACACAAGCACCTGGCCGTGCCTTATCACTGCCTCCAAGCTTAACGTCCGTCCCTGCGTAACGAAAAACCCGCCATGCCGAAAAGAATTCTACAAATAGTCAGACCGGATCGTCCAATTTAGTGGAATTAGGGTAATTTAAGTTTCAAGGTGTCGATCAAGTATGTCTGGTTCTACAGCCAGAAGAAACATAGAAAATTACATGAATTATCACCATGCTGTCGATCTTTTCGTCATATACCTATACAACTTCGCCTGTTCCAAAGCCATATAACAATGTATGCGTCTATCACTCATGCCTATCGGTGCAGCTAAGATACTCTTCCACTATCTGTAAAAGCCTTCCGTGCAATTAAAAGATAATCTATATTACAGGAATGTAGTCCGGATTTATCCGGCTGGAGAGGCTCTTGGCAGACGACTTGACACTCGACCTACAAGGCTTAGCGTATGCTGTCTAAATAATGTTAATTACGCTTAGCCATGCATTAATCCTGGATCAGACAATAATCCGAAAACTGACGCAACCCGCACAGCCACAAATCCTACATGTAAAGACACGCAGATGTAGGACGTAATTACATATCATCGCACATTAGCCCGAACCGGTGATTCGCTTCCGCCGGAGGTACCAATCGACGGGGCGGCGTTGCAGCGCGCATAGGGCTGATGATTGACTTCCTAGCGTCGGAGGGAAATGGTAAGGCTATGATAAGGCTATGATAAGGCTATTTTACAAAACTGGAAGCGATAAAGGCCTGAGGTTGGTTGGCTCTGGGGGAAAGGCCTATTATGCTACGGGCCAAGGCGCTTCACAAATGTATCTCGGACTTTACGATGCAAACATGATTTTGGGCAAAAGTGGATTGTAGACGTGCAGGATTAGGTCTAGCAGATTATTTGCGTGGAATTACAGTATAACAATATTCAATGTGCGCATGAGCGTACTGGCGGTCAACATAGCCCTTATTTGTCTTCTCACACAGTGCCTCGCTACATCGTTAGGACTTTATGATAGCACGTATTGCTGCAACAAGCTGTATCACTGCGGTGTGATACCTATCTCTACAATGAATGAACGACAACAATGAAAGAAATCAGGTTCAATAAGACGCAAAAGCCACAGTAGAGAGTCACTCCTTCCCAAGCAGCAGCTTCACCACCTGCTCGTGGCCTCCGTATGAAGCCGCCTGGAGTGCGTTGCCGTAGTATCCACCCTGCGCGTTCGGATCGGCGCCCTTGTCAAGCAGCAGCTTTACCACCTGCTCGTGGCCTTCAGATGAAGCTGCCTGAAGTGCGTTGCCGTAGTATCCACCCTGCGCGTTCGGGTCGGCGTCCTTGTCGAGCAGCAGCTTTACCACCTGCTCGTGGCCTCCAGATGAAGCCGCCTGGAGTGCGTTGCTGTACGCACCCTGCGCGTTCGGGTCGGCGTCCTTGTCGAGTAGCAGCTTTACTACCTGCTCGTGGCCTTCTTCTGAAGCCGCGTAGAGTGCGTTGCCGTACGCACCCTGCACGTTTGGGTCGGCGTTCTTGTCGAGTAGCAGCT